ACACACACACACACACACACACACACATATATATGTATAAATATAGTCCAGGGAGCTCTGGTGGCCTAATGGTAAGGAATTTCTCTGTATACAGTCTGAATCTGTCAGCTGATCCATGGGAGAAATACGGGTATTTATCCTCCCGTGCAATTTACTGCCTCTAAGAACCTACTGGAGAGTCAGCTATGGGCCAGTTCAAAGTTAATGGTAAACAATATCAATATAATCTAGAACAATGCTTAGGTTATAGGATTATAACTGTCTCCATAAAGGTTAGAATAGAGTTGCTTGTTGTTTGTTGAGTACCATCAAGTGGGAACCAACCTGTAGCTGACCCTCCAGTGGGTTTTCAAAAGCAGTGAATCGAATGGGAGGAGACTGTCCAGTTATTAATAAATATTTCCTGAATAAATGAACAAAGTAACAACACAAAAATAATTTTCTTATAATGCTTCCTGAGTTCTTTTTCATTAAGGAAAACAGGGGGGTAGGGCATGGGTATGAGTATAATTCATTTACCATTGCACTGAGTGTTTCTTCCCAGTCAGGCCGCTCTCGAGGATGAACGTCTCTATGAAGTTCTGGAACAAAATCATCTTCTTCCGAGTGTACTGAGGACTTCATCTTCCTAGAGAACAAAACATAAAGCCTGTGATAAGAACTTCAATGAACTTTCTATGAAAGTTTTCCAACAACCACACTTTATAGAGATGAGAAAAAAATTCCCCAATTTAAAGATGAGTCATAAGGACTTAAATAGCTAGTAAAGTTTCTCCATTTCTAATATGAGCTTTTGGTTTATTCCTAATCTATATAAAAACCTAGAGTTGCTATAATCAAGGATGCTTTAGGCAGAATATTAAATGATCCAGGAAGTATTAAAAGAGATGGAAGGAATATACTGAGTCATTGTATCAAAGGGAACTGGAAGATACAGAAGAATTTAATGAAATAACATTTGAGCAAGAGCCTATGGTGATAAAGGAAGAAGTTCAAGCTGCTTTGAAGGAAATAGCAAAAAATAAGGCCCCAGGAATAGATGGTATACCAATTAAAGTATGTCAGCTAACAGATGCGGCCCTGGATGTGCTCACCAAGTTGTGCCAAGAAATCTGGAGAACAACTACTTGGCCAACTGACTAGAAGACATCTGTGTATGTTCCCATTCCAAAGAAGGGCAACCCAACTGAATGTGGAAACTACAGAACAATCTCACTTATTTCACATGCAAGCAAGATTCTACTGAAGATAATCCAAAAACAACTGGAACAGCACATCAGCAGAGAATTGCCAGAAATCCAGGCTGGGCTTAAAAGGGGTCATGGTACTAGGGATATTGTAGCTGATGTTACATGGATCTTAGCTGAAAGCAGGGAACACCAGAAGAATGTCTATCTGTGTTTCACTGGTTATGCAAAGGCATTTGTGCGGATCATAACAAACTGTGGCTGACTCTGAGAAGAATGGGAATCCCAGATCATTTAATTGTGCTACTGCGGAACCTATACTTGAACTAAGAGGCAGTAGTCAGAACAGAGCAGGGTAACACTGCATGGTCCAAAATTGGGAAGGGTGTACACCAGGGATGTGTCCTGTCTGCATACCTTTTCAACCTGTATGCAGAGCAGATTATCCGGGAGGCTGGGCTCTATGAGGAGAATTGTGGCATCAAGATTGGTAGAAGATCTATTAGCAACTTGTGTTATGCAGATGACACAGCCCTGCTTCCTGAAACTGAGGAGCACCTCATGCACTTGCTGCAGAGGGTCAAGGACTGCAGCCTTCAGTATGGACTGAGGCTCAACGTCAAGAAGACAAAGATTCTCATACTGGATCAACCGGCAGCATCAGGATGGATGGCGAAGAGATTGAGATTGTTAATAGCTTCAGTTTGCTCGGCCCCACAGTCAACACTCTTGGCACCACCAGCCAGGAAATCAAAAGACATATTGCAATGGCAAAGTCTACTGTTAGGGACCTCTCTAAAGTACTAAAGAGCAACGGTGTCTCTCTGGAGACTAAGGTGTGCCTGATACAGGCCATGGTCTTTGCAATCACTTGTTATGCATCAGAGAGTTGGAAAATGACTAGGGAGGACAGAAGGAGAATTGATGCCTTTGAGCTGTGGTGCTGGAGAAGAGTACTGAATGTACCATGGACTGCCAAGAAAACAAACAGATTCATCCTGGAGAGGATTAAACCAAGCATCTCCTTGGAGGCAAGGATGCTGGGGCTTCATCTGACATACTTTGGGCATGTTGCAAGAAGGAACAGGTCCTTGGAGAGGGACATCATGCTTGGGAGGGTGGAGGAACGGCGCAAGAGGGGAAGACCCTCTATGAGATGGATTGATTCAGTGATTGGGGTAATAGGGATGGGTGTGTCAGAGGCAGTGCGATTGGCACAGGACAGAGCAGAGTTTAGGGCTGTTGTACATAGGGTCGCTATGAGTCGTAAGCGACTCGAGAGCACATAACAACAAACAACAACATCTAAAAACTGCTTTTATTCCAGTAGAATTAAGAGGTTTACAACCTATATGACCTAGGCAAAATGATTATAGGAGGGCTGGTTTTATCTGTTCAATACGTTTTAAATTTTAAACAGATAAACAGCAGCAATTATTTGTTCCGTATCAGTATTTCCAAAATTGTGCCGAGAAACAGAATTCCTGATGAAGAAAAATATGAGATTTCTAGTTCCAAACAAGAGGACAACATATCAAATTTACATTTTTGATTTAATGATTTATAAAAGGAACACAAAACATATATATTTATATATATATATATATTCTTTGAAAGCACAAGAAAGCAATGTAGGCGATCTCTGAACACAGGAAAGTGTAACGTGAATCCACAGTCAATCTTGATTTTGCACAAATAATTTTCTAGATCTCAGTGATGACACATGTATAACACAGTACTCCAACTGGTCTGATGCAGCAAGTATTAGAGGCCTGAGCTGTCGGAGCAGATGGGATTGCAAAGAGAAAAATCTCTCCCCCAAAAAAGAACTAAGAGGGGGGAAAAAAATCTAAAAAGAGAAAAAACCTCATGGGTACTTCTGTATGGCAGCAATGCTGAGGAGACAGGATTGGTACTAAGCTCAGGGAAAGGCAGGGGGAAACTGCAGGTGAGAGGAGCAACAATGTGCTATGCCCTGGTCACACAAAGGGACACAGAAAAAGCCTCCCTTAGCAATAAATAAAAAAATAAAAACAGACAAGATCTAACAAGGTCTAAAACTGAGTCTTTTCTCCTTGGAGGAAAATATTATTAAGGGCTTCTTCAGATTTTTAATCCACACTGTCTATCATCTAATGAAAATTATAAAATATATTGAAACTAGATACGAACAGATGAATGAAAGTGTGGGGAACCATTCAAATCAAAAGAGAGACATAAGACTTGATTTTAGGATTATCAGATAAGGTTGTAAAATTATACTGACACAAAAAAAAATTATACTGACACATTTCTGCATTATGTTTACCAATGGAGAAAACCATAAAGAGCTTTATTCACAATCTAACAAGAAAATAACTTGATAATCCAATTCAAACTTTTTTGATCCTATGAAAAAACAGATCTCAGGGTAATGCACCTAACGTCCTAGCAATTAATAAGCAAACATCTCCAAGGGCTGGCAGAACTGAAGTAAGGACATTCATGGGGCAAAGCACAGAAGGAGGAGAGAACACAAGGAGGTCAGAGTTTAAAAGAAGTTATAAAACGTACTTATTCATATCTTAAATAATATAAAACATCGGGATGGGTGTGTCAGAGACAGTGCAACTGGCACAGGATAGAGCAGGGTTTAGGGCTGTTGTACATAGGGTCACTATGAGTCACAAGCGACTCGACGGCACCTAACAACAACATATAAAAATATTATCACACTTCATGTGATTGGCTTAAATGCACCAATTAATAGAAGGGGAAAGCAGCAGAATGGATTAAAAACACAAAGCTCAAAAAATTGGCAGACAGAAGAATTTCATGAAAGAACATAGGAGCAGGAGCCAGTGGTGATGAAGGAAGAAGTTCAAACTTCTTTGAAAGAACAGGCAAAAAATAAGGCCCCAGGAATTGATGGTATACCAACTGACATATTTCAACTAACAGATGCTCCCCTAGATGCGCTCAGCAAGTAAAGCCAAGAAATCTGGAGGACAACCACTTTGCCAACTGACTGGAACAGATTTATTATTTGTTCCCATTCAAAAAAAAAAAAAGTGATGTAACTGAGTGTGGAAATTATCGAACAGTATCATTAATATCACATGCAAGCAAGATTTTGCTGAAGATTATCCAAAAATGACTGAAACAGCACATCAACAGAGAACTATCAGAAGTGCAGGCTGGGTTTGGAAGGGGTCATGGTACTAGGGATCTTGTAACTAATGATAGATGGATCTTGGCTGAAAGCAGAGAGTACTAGAGGAATCACAACAAACTGTGGCTAACTATGAGAAGAATGGAAATCCCAGAACACTTGATCATGCTAATGCAAAACCTATACTTGGACCAGGAGGCCATCGTCAGAACAGAGGAAGGAAACACTGCATGGTTCAAAACTGAGAGGGGTGTATGTCAGGGATGTGTCTTATCTCCATAACTTTTCAATCTATATGCAGAACAGATTATCTGGGAGCCTGGGCTCTATGAGGAGAAATGTGGCATCAGGATTGGAGGAAGAATTATGAACAATCTGTGTTAATGCAGATGACACAACCCTGCTTGCTGAGGAAGGTCAGAGACTGCAGCTTCAGTATGGATTGAGGCTCAATATCACACACACACAAAAGATTCTCACCACTGGGCCAATTAGCGGCAGCCGGAACCCAGCGGCAGCCAGAACCCAGCGGCAGCCGGAACCCAGCTCTGGAATTTGAATCACACACAGGACAGCTGAGTCATAGCCAAAACACACCAGCCAAGCCACTGTGAAACCCACCCACCAGGGGCAAGTAGGGAGCAATAGCCTGCCACCCTGCAACTCCGGAGGGAGCAACCTAAGGCTCCCAGCTTCTAAGAGACCCTGGAGGAGCAACAGTTTGCCAGCCACCACAGAACCCCAGCGATCACCACCAACCATGTGACCCCACAGGAGCGACAACTACCCACCACTGTGTTAACCCCCTGCAGCCCGAGCCTACAAGACCCCACCACGCAGGGTGCTGCTGCATAAACCCCCAGCAGTGCCTAAGCCCCGCCCCCGCCTCCTGGTCGTAGTGCCCACCCCCGACAACCCCTTGGTTCTTGCCCCTTCCCCCGCCCCCTTACAGCTCCACAACCATGCACCTCAGCTCCAACCGCAGCCCTGTGACCCCAGGGCACTGCCTCGGATCCAGCCATCACCCAGAGTTACCAGCCTAGTGACTCTGGAACTAATCTGGCAGAAAAAAGGCCGGGAGGATCCTGACTGGGTTTTCTGGGGCACTGATTACCTCGGAGAGCATGCAAGGCTGTGCCCACTGGTAGGGAATTTGGCCAAGCTCTCTTGGGCCACACCAACTGCCCAGAAACAAGCGAGCCAATGGCTGGTTTTATGGACTCTGCAGACCAGCCAGAGGCTAGTGGGTCAGTGGGAATTTAAACTTGATTTTTTGGGTCCTGTTGGATC